GACTCAGTTCACCCCGGCTGGGCTGGGGCTGCCCCAGGCCTGACTCAGTTTACCCCGGCTGGGCTGGGGCTGCCCCAGGCCTGACTCCATTTATCGTAGCAGGTGGGCGAGGCAGGAGGGTGCTGGGTCAGCGAGGGGCAGTGGTTCCCAGGACAGGGACGTGCGGGAGGACACGCTGGTCCGGGGGCGGCCGGCACTCACCGTGTGGAAGAGGGCGGTCTCCTCTTTGCCCACCAGCTCGGCGAGGATGGTGGACTTGTTGTGGCTGATGTTTCCGATGTCACCCCACCTGCACAGACCGTGGAGCTGAGCTGGCAGGGGCGGCCCGGGCGCACCCCACGCTCGCTGCTTACATGGGGGCCCCCTCCCCCCAAAGCAGGCGAGCAACAGGGCGCGTCAGGCACGGAGCCCAGACCTCACACCGCTGTCCACTCACAGGCAGCCACCCCCTGACCCCGCGAGCCCCACTTCCTCGTGAGGAGCCGCGGTTTAGTCAAAGGTGTGTCCAAGAGCGGGGACCTGAGAGTCCACAGGTCTGGGCTGAAGCAGGCTGGACCCACGAGCCCTACAGCGGGACCCCAGTGTTCACATGCGTGCTCAACACTCCTGCACAGACACCCCTGCACCCCCAAGCCTTCCTCAGGAGACGGCATCCACAGTGACCGAGGCAGGGTGACCGCCAGCCAGCCAGGAGGGCCGGTGGGGCGGGCCAGCTGGCACACGCTGTCTGGCAAGGTCCCAGCCTGTGGGGGCACATTCCTAAAAAGTTAGGGGGCCCCAATCCCTGAGAATAAAGGTCATTAAATAGTCACTAGAAAACAGGGGCTTCCCTGTGGTCAATACAGCAATGCTACTCTTAAATGTTATGAATTTATGTACCTGTTCTCACTTCGATAGCTTGATTTCAAGAATAACAAATGTTATCATCTTAGCAGAAGGTCAAGATGACCCCAAACTGTTCTTAGCAAAAAAGGGGTGACTGTGATCTTTCTGCTTAATTCACATGCTAATGCTAATCCCACTGGCGGACACCAGCGAGGTGTCCTGCACCCAGAGACCCACCCTGGCTCGGCCAGAAACAGCCCAGCCTCAGCTCCCCACAATCATACCCCAAGGGACGCCAGAGACCCCCCCCACCCCCGAACCCCCGGCGGGGAAGGAAGAGGGCACGTGGCCTTACCTATATATCACCACCTGTCTCCCGACCCGGTTCCTCACGAAAATCCCCATGAAGAAGATGCCCAGGTGAACGCTGTTGCCGTGGTTGTCCTGCAGGAGGGAACGGGAGGCCCGAGGTGAGAGGCTGGCAGGGCCCCACCCCCAAGGTGGCGCCGGCCCGAGCCACGCAGGGCCCCACAAGCGCAGCCTGGCACGCAGGCCGGCCCAGCTCTCTGACGGGCTCTGTCTGTCCTTGTTTCCTCAGCTGCCACGGTTCCCCGAGAGGATTTTCTTGCAGGTTTGGGGTTTCTCGGGCATCTACTAACACCTGATGGTCACCTCCGCTGGCATCTTCTTTCAAGCTCCGGTGAGCGGTGTCTGGACGGGCAGGTGAGAGGCGAGGGGCCTCTGGGCTGGCTGGAATCACCCATGTGCCATCACCATAGTCCAGTGCACTTCATCTCCCCCCATTTTTGATCCCATTCCCCACTCCACCCCCGTAAAGTCTCTGGTATATAGTTGTTCATTATTATTCCCCCTACTCCACCCCCGGCCCTTTATGCTCCTGCTATGAGTGACACCATCCAGTGTTTTTCCTTTTCTTTCTGGCTGATTCCACTGAGCATGATCCCTTGTTTGTCCATCCATCCATCTGTTCCATCCATCTGTTTATCTTTTTGACGGCTGAGTAATATTCCATCGTGTGTATGTGCCACATCTTTTTAGTCCAGTCATCTACTTTTGGGCATTTGGGCTGTTTCCCTGTCTCTCCTGTTGTAAATAAAGCAGCACTAACAGCCCCCTCTAACTTTATCCCCCATGTTCCGTTACTCTGGTCTTTTTGGGTGAGGTTTTCTTACTTTTATCTTCTAACCCTGTCTATGATACTTTCCATTCCTGGCAATTTTTTTTGGAAAGATTTTTATTTATTGCTGCATACAGAACTGGGGTATAAGCCAGAGGTGCAGGGGTCGTGAGAGGCTTCACCAGAGACAGAGTGGGGAGCGGAACAGGCAGATGGACGAAGCCCACTGCTGAGGGGAGCAGCGGGCGGGTCAGGAGAGGTCTCCCGCACCCTGTGGATCTCCTCCGGGCCGGGATCAAACTCGCACTGAGGCGGTTGCAGCCAGCTTGCAGGGCTGCGTCCTTACCCGTTGTGCCACCAGGGAGGGCCCACTCCTGGCAATTTTTAAATTCTGGGAGTTTGCGAGTTTTGTTTCCTGAATGTTCCTTCTGGAAAGCGCTCGCTTCCCTCAAGAACACACTCATTTCCCGCTGTCTGAGACCCCTGGAAGAGCACTGGGGCAGGGGGCTGGCTCCTTGGCTCTCGCTGTGCTGGCTTGGCAGCTTTCAGGCCTTGCTCTGGGCCAGTCCCCTTTGGGTTGACTTCTGCCCACGGGGGGACGGGTCACTTCAGGTGCTTGATTTTCAAATTACATTCTTTGTCTTCCGTGTTGTATATCACTGTATTAAAGTCCCTTTTCGGTAAAGTCTTGTGTGTCTTGTCTTGATGCGGCGGATGGCAGAACCTATTCAGAGCGGGCAGGTTTGGGGGTTCAGGGGTGCCCCTCTCTCCCTGCCCTGTACCAAGCGCAGAACCAGGACGGCAAGAGAGGAGGAGAGAGGAGAGCCGC